TAAAAAGAAAGTAAGTAGGGATTTACTGTTTCTCGGTATTTAAACTTGGTGCCATAAATGAAACTATTAGGCAGTAGATTTAAAACTAACAAAAGGAAGTTATTTTTTCACACGCAGTATAATTAACTTGTGGAGCTCATTGCTATAAGACGTAGAGCCTGATCATTTAACAGAGTTCAACAGGGGATTGGACAAATTCAGAGTGGAAAGTCCCATCAGTGCATATTGAACATAGTAGGTAGGAGTGCAGCCTCTGACTATAAGATTCTTAAGGCTCTGAAAGCTGGAAGCTGCAGTAGAAGAGGAGCAGGGGTTTGAAATTTCTGGACATGCCCTGTTTACTCTCTTACTGGGCATCTACACAGCCATTGTGTGGATTGCGATACTGGGCTAGATAGCCCTACAGTCGGACTCAGTAAATATTGGTTCTTATGTTCATTCATTATTACCTCTAATATCTTCTGTGGCTATAAGCTAGTGCAGTTGCACTGTTAGAAACTGCTAGGGACAACACTTCCTTAGTCTGTATATCAAAGGCCTGAGGATATAGGTGTTAATCCTTTTACTTAAGTTTAGACTAGTACTGAGCAACACCATTCAGTTAGGAGTTTTCACCTTGTATTCCATCAGCCCTTTCTCTAAAGTCTGGGGCATGTAGGTGTTAGCAAAGTATTTTAATATGGTCCTTTTATAGTGAGTTATTAACTAAGCAGAAGCTACAGAAGCAGGATATGTGTTGAAACACTTGGGTTTTTTATTGCATCATCTGCAGTAGTTATGAGATGACAAAATCAGTCCAACTGTTGCTTCTCACATAACATAGTTATGCGATGGCCAGCATGACCAAAGTGAAGGTATTAACATACTTTGCATTCATACTGCCTTGGCACTTTGTCCCATAATGCAATGTCTTGAGCCCAGTTGACCATTACAACATTTGCTATGGCTGTCTGGGTATCCATTACAATGTTTGGAGTTCAGCCTTCTATCACTTTGATTACTAGAATGGGGAAAATAAAAAATAGTGACTTAAGTCTGGAATCGTTGCTGCATTTTCTAATACTGATTTACTACAGCTCCTGGAGGAAGATTCTATTTCTTAGTGTCATAAACACAGGGATAGCAGAAAGAGCCAGGCAGCATGAACAATAGATTTTCCTTTCTTTAACAGTGACGTGGCACAGACAGTGTCCACCAGCAGTTTATATTCACTAATCATATCATGTTACTAAAACATATGTCTGTCTGTCTTATTATGAAAAGAGATTTTATACTCACAACTTCTTTAAAAGAATATACGCTGCCACATAGAACTGAGGTAAATGAATGTTACAAATAATTTAGTAAATAGGTTTTGCCTCACTTATGTGCCTGAAATGTCTAAGAAGCAACTGCAACTTCCTTAGCTTCCTGCCAAAATAGCCATTTGAAAAATCTCTGATTTGTATCTTACACATCCAAAATTTGAGAAGGTTGCAATCGTGTCTGACCAAGTAAGTGACATATTCTCTGAGTAGCTAGGCTGGGCTCTGACACACAACTTTCTGGTGCGAATGGTCTTAGAAAGTAAGTTTGAAATTTAATTGTCATGAGTGTTCAAGTGTGAAAGTACCAATTTTCACTTTCCAGTGGACACTCATGCACTACCGCACAATTGCACAAGTTCTCATTGCAAGTGAGCAAAGAAAGGATGAAATATTGGCAAGATTAAAAATAAATTTGTTTAAAAAATAAATTAGAACAAATATGTATGGAAATACTTTGCATTATTCATCTAGATCTATTATTGAATTGATTAGGTGCTAAATTTTGGTCTAATTATTCCCCCCCACACACCCTTTATTTTGATTGGAGGCCATTCCCTTAATTTTAAATCTCAAAAAGCCAGTTTGAGCTCCCTCTGCTGGTTCTGACATGGCTATGACCTACCTGATACAGTTCTCAGCAAAGAGTTTTGTGCCAACATCAACACTCAAGGAAAAGCAAGGAAGCAGAGTTCAGCAGAAAATTTTCCATTTTCCAGAACTTTCAGAGATTTCAAAAATGCTTCTGATTTTGCACTGGGCTGAAACAAATGCACTGGACATTCAAAAAATACCTGCCCTTCCCATCTTCCCTTCTCTTCCCCCCCCCCCC